AACATTTTATTGCTTCTCTGTTTTTTGTTTTCATCTTTGTATAATCATATGATTACCTAAAATAAGCATGTTCTTCTTAGTGATCATTGAGTTACCTTAGTTCTGGAGGATACTCAGGCCACTGGTTAGTCCACTTTGTCTCTTCCTTGTCCTCAGGATCAAGGGAAGCTGGCATTAACATTGGCTCCTCCACTGCGAAATCAAACACCTCCTTCCAGTCTCTTACATTCTTGGTGTGCTCAGTGTCATAGTAACCAAACAAACTTTTTTCATCCCTCGTAATCTTCTTCTTCTTATCCAATAGCACCCCATGGTTGATCACTTGGAAGAACCCCCACTCTTTGCATGCATTGCCTATTTCTCTAGCAACCCCTTCAATGGCTTTAGGGTCAGAAATGTTGTCTGAGGAGTTTAGGGGAGACAGGTCAATCAATGGTATGCCTTCAGTTTCGGTGACGGAGAGTTTGGGCCTGTGCTCAGGGTCTTGGATGAAAATTGGATCAACCTCTCCCATGGATGGTGAATTTGATTTGGAAGCCTGCTCAATGGTATTTTGTTGTTTGTTTTTGCAAGAAAGCTAATAGAAGAATGGTAGGTTTTTTAATGTGAGTGGTTGAAGTTTTATCTGGATGGGTTCTTGTCAATTAGTAGTTTGAGAATAGTAGGTGCTGCAAGGTTTTGATTTGGAAGGTTGTGACAGTGTGTGCTTATGTTAGGAATGGTGGATCAAATACAATTGTCCCACGTCAGAAAAGGAACTGTCCATAAATGGATTAATTAAGCGGTAGCTCTTTCTAAATTGTACTGCAATTCAAAAAAAATTTAAATGAGGGGTGGGATTGAGATAGATTTTAGCAGGTTAGTAAGTTCATTCATCCTAAGAACCCAAAACAGCCAATGTCACAAATTAATCAAAACCCAAAGCGTTCTCGTTGTTGAAGCAAAATAAATGTTTGTAGATAATTATATTACTGATCTTAGTGACACTTTAACCACACAATGTTCAGAAGTTACACACAGGTCACTTCTCTATAGAACAATGCATTATTTTCTGAATCGATATACAGCACGGTATGCACAGGGAGCTAAAATAACAATAGTAGCACTTAGCAAAACTCCTTGTACTCCAAACTTATTCCGATACCCTGAAATGATAAATCTGGATGTTTTCAGTACTGAGTTTCTTGAAATTACTGAGCTTTCTGTGTGTGATAAACTTGCCCCAGCTGTAGGGCTTATACTTGGCAGGGTTTCGTTCATCGGTCATCTCCTCCAAGGGCTTGACTTGTGTGTAGTGTGCTGGGCTGAGGAAGAAGGGAATGGAAAACCTTTCCTTCTCTGAGTTCACCATCACCCTGTGTTCCACACTCTCATATCTCTCATTGCTCCAAACCTGTATAAACATCTCTTTGTTATGTGCACAACAATATATAGCGTGCATTGACTAATTAACATATCCTGTAAAGTAATTCTAATTGGACAACTGATTTTGTTCTAGATCTAGATTGGTGTGTGTGTGTGTGTCCTTTTAGGTTCTTATGCTGTTAGAAGTGGAAAGCAAGCTTGGCCAGTAACAACTTTCAAAAGTAATCTGAACACAAGTACTTAGTATGAAGAGTGGAACCTGAATAACATCACCAACATTGATGATATAGGCATTTGGGGTAGGTTTCACCCGAATCCACTCCCTGTCTGTTTTTCTTTTCACTTCCAATCCTCCAACATCATCTTGAGCTAGCAAGGTTAATGCACCGCCATCCTTGTGGCGCCCAACACCGAGAGCTAACTGAGGGGAAGGGCAAGGTGGATAGTGGTTGAGTCTGATAAAACTTGTTTGGTGTTTGAAGTAGCTGTTGAACCTGTCTTCTGGCAAGCCTAGACTCAAGGCTATAAGTCCCATCAACTTCAGAGCTAGCTTTTCTACTTCTTGAGCATACTCTTCACACGCCGGTCTGGTCAAGGCATGCAGTGTAGCTATTAGATCATATTCATATATAAATCAGGTTCCAAAGTTTATGTTTAATACTTCAATTCATAGGGTTCTTACAGTACAAACAGTTAAGTTTCCAAGTGAGAAAGCTAGCAGTTCTTTACTTGATACACATTATAGTTCAAAGGTGATTTTGGAATTACAAGGAACATAAAAAAATGTAATTGACCCTTTGGTTGGTTGCTTAGCAATTTCTTAGATTGAGGTACCTTAGTTCAGGAGGATTCTCAGGCCATTGGTTTATCCACTCTGTCTCTTCTTTGTCCTCAGGATCAGGGGAAGCTGGGACTAATGTAGGCTCCTCCACTACGAAATCAAACACCTCCTTCCAGTCTCTAACATTCTTGGTGTGCTCAGTGTCATAGTAGCCCACCACAATTTTTTCATCCCTCCTAATCTTCCTCTTCTCCTCCAAGGGCTGAGCAAAGAACTTCCTAGCAGCTGTCTCAATCTTTTCGCGCTTATCCAACGCGACTCCATGGTTGATCACTTGGAAGAAACCCCAGTCCTTGCAAGCACTGCCTATTTCTCTAACAAGCCCTTCAATGGCTTTAAGCTCAGAAATGGAATCTGGGGTAGGGATACTATTTATAGGAGAAAGATCAATCAATGGTATGCCTTCAGCTTCAATGATGGAGAGTTTTGGCCTGTGCTCAGGGTCTTGAATGAAAGCTGGATCAACCTCTCCCATGGCTGGTATTTTTGATTTGGAAGGTAAAGCCACTCTGTGGTTTTAATTTTAACTTTTTGCAAGAAGAGCTAATAGAAGAGTTATAATGGAAGCCTTATCTTGAACCTGGACGGGTTTGGTCAATTGTTAGGTGGAGTTGGTAAGTTACTAAGTGCTGCAGCACGGTTTGTTTTGGAAGATTGTGGCTGTTGTGCTTTCATGGGCTGTATTTTTCTGTACTATTATGCCATTGCAGACGTAGATCAAAATAATTGGTACAAATAGTGACTTTGACACTAATATATTTCTCTTCCTGGAGAACCCAAAACAGACAATGCCAGAGAGTCCAACCATTCACTCTCTCTTTTTATTTATTTTATCTCAAAGTTACTATCTTTAAAATTTTCAACAAACAGTATTGCAGAAGTGTACTGAGAAAATATATTGCAGATTTTTTAACTTAACCAAGAGATCATGACTGATTTGAGAAGAAAAATGCATTTGTCTTTTCTTTTTCCTCTGAGCTGAAACTGGTTGTCTAGATGTTCCTCCACAGGTGCTGGAATCCAAAATACTTTTGTTTATTTTTTTGGTTACAAAAATACTTCTGTTTTTCATTTGCAGAGGGAAGGACATAAATTTTATTTCTTTATTTAAATATAGGCTTTGTATCACAAATGGTCCCTGAGGTTTGCAAAATTATCACCTTTCGTCCCTAACTTTTTTTGTAACACTAATGGCCGTTAAGGTTAGCTTCAATCAAATTTTCTATTAAATTGCTAACGTGACACATGTTTGAAGCCCACACATCCAATGGTATAAAGCCGCGTACCGCGTGGCTTTAAATATTTTAAAACTTTAAATCCACCCAAAAAAAAAAAAAACATGCACCATGACCATCCCCTATGCGTCCTCCCTCTGCCAGCGCTGCGCCTCCGCCCCTCGCAAACAAAAGTATGAATGTTTGACTCTCTCTCCCTCATCTTCATTCATTTTTACAGTCTAATCCAACCAAACATTGCCCCTCCTTTTGGTTCTGCTTGTGATTGGACATGGGTAGTAAAAGATTGATGTTGCCTACAAAGATTGGAGGGAAAAACAGATTTTACAGAGTAGGAGATGCAGAGGAAAGAGATCAAAAGCAAGAAACATAATGTGATCATTGTGGAGGTCCAAGAGTAGAGGCCTTCTACAGGGTCAGCCAAAGATCACATATAGTCTTTGGCATTGCAGCCTTAGCCAAAGCAAAAGTCAAAGCCTTTGGCTTTGTAGAATTAAAAACAGGGAGAGGGAGAGAGAGAAAGAAAAGGGAGGAAGAGGAGGGAGAGAGAGGCAAAAGGTGGGTCCGCCGAGGGGAAGGGCGCTGGCAGAGTGAGAATGCAGAGGGTGCAGGTATTTTTGTTTTTATGGATTTAAGTTTTAAAATATTTAAAATATATTTTATTTTATTTAAAGTCACGTGGCTTTATACCATTGGATGTGTGGGCTCCACACACGTGCCACCTCAATAATTTAACATAAAATTTTGCGGAAGTTAACAACATGGACCATTTTGATGTGTAGAGAGTAACCTTAAGGATCATTAGTGTTACAAAAAACTGTTAGAGACGAAATGTGATAATTTTGCAAACTTCAAGGACCATTTGTGATAAAAAGTCTTAAATATATATCGAAAACAACAGTCTTACTATTGTCCATTAACTTATCTTAACTTAGTTTTGTGATGAATAATGCTAAAAGGGTTCTCGGGAATTTGTTCTTAGTCTTTGAAGCAATATATTTCCTATTTAGATTGGTGCACTAGATACTAAGTTATATAAAGTTTGATAAGAGTTTAAATTAGGTTACACCTTGAGGCCCAAAACCTTGTGAAATAAGGAAAGTTTTGAAGCCAATTAAAGGAGTCCTATTTATTTCCTTTTGCGTGAACCGTTACTTGATAAGCTTTGAGTGTTAGTCAAGTCGGCCCTTGGTGATGAGTAGAGATGAGTAGAACTGGCCCTTGGTATTGGCAATTGTTGGAATTTTGAGAGTTGTGATGTGCTCTGATACCATTGTTGGTTTATAGGGTGAAGGGGTTTAGGAAATATAGAACAATAGTTGAAACAAAGTGTTTTTTATTAATTTGGAGGAGAATAGTACATAGCTTTGTGTAGGCTAATTGGTCTCCTAGTGGTGTAGCTACTGGCTACCTATCTTCTCGATTTAGACTCTAGGCTATTTGTCCCTTTACTTAGCTTGGTGAGCTTATTGGCTCCACAACATAGCTTAGTTTGGATTGGGAGACTCTTGTTAGCTCCACCTTGTTATATTGCATTGCATGCCTACTTATAGGCATTGTTGCGGACTTTCTCTGCCGCCTTATCCCACAGGCTTTGTGCCACCGCCCTTAGCCTTTTATTCCAGCCACTAGAGAGTTCCTCCGCCGCCATAATCATTTCTTTTCAGCCACTAGCTTGTGACTTCAACTAGTTTGTAGGTTCTTGACTTTTTTAGAATTTTCTTTATTTTTTTTTAGTACAAATGTGCATTTTTTTCAACAGGAATAACAAATCACCTGCAAAATTTGTCCAATAGAGGTGAGAATTGGATCTATCTTTATTAGCGCTACAATACAGTCAAAAAATGTGGTACATGTAGCATCACTCAAATTTTTCTTCAATTCTGTAATGTAATCATTTGACCATTTCGAATTAGGACTAACCAATGTCTTTTGTTACATGAGTAATGCTATTTGTATCCAATTGACTAATATATTGTTCATCACATGCTATTCTTACGTATATGGATCACACGTACGTCTTATCCTTGCGAGAGATGTGATTAGTAATTAGTACGAATATTTTTATTGTTGTTGAGTTCCATCAGGACATTCATTGAACACTCTGTTCTTCAGATGAGGGTATACTTCAAAATGCAAAAATTGTTTGTTATAAAAATTAACCAGTAGGAACACTTTTAGTTTTATGTATAATGACTAATTATTGTGTAGGATACTACTAAAAGAATATGCTCTCAGTTTTTGAAGCAAAAAATGTGTTTTTATATCATTATATTTCTCACCTGACACAATCACCATTAACCACTTATTCAGATTTGAGTTTTCTTGAAATTACTGAGCTTCTTGAAACACATAATTTCAAGAAGCTCAGTTTTGATTTGGAAGCTAACTAGCTAAGCCACTCTATGGTTTTTTTTGTTTTTTTTTCAAGAATAACAATACTGCAGAATTTAGCACTTAACCAAGAAGTCTTGGGCTGTTTTGCACTGTTTGTCTATATTTGTGTGTAATTTGATTCTTCTGCTGCAACATTTAATGATTGATTTGGGTGCCTTACATTTTGGTTTTTGCTTACATGATTGTTTTACTCTAAGGCCTTTGTTTCTTTTTTCCCTTAGGTGCCACTGATCTTTTAGAGTGTAACTTAATTTTTGGTCATGAGTTCTAAAATTTCACGCTTGGACTTGGCTAATTCAGGTCATGAAAATACAGACTAAATAATTTTTATTTACAAGGCGATATTCTAAACTACTTCAATTTTTAAGTTTTTGGTAAAACAATAATGACTAATTGTTGTAGTGAAAGTGGTAAAATGATTCTCCGGAATATGTTCTTAGTTTTCGAAGCAGAATGTGTTTGTAGATAATTATATTACTGATCTTGTTGACAAATTAACCAGGCCTTGTTTCAAAAAAGTTCCTTACAAGTCACTTCTATACACAGCATGCCATTATTTTCTGAATTGATATACAACATGGTATGCACAGGATCAGGAAGCTGAAATAACATTTAAGAAAACTCCTCCTTACCCACTTATTCTGATAACCTGAAATGATGAATTTGGATGTTCTCCACATTGAGTTTCTTGAAATTGGTGAGTTTTCTGTGAGTCAAAAACTTTCCCCAGTTGTATGGCCTATACTTGGCAGGGTTTTCTTCACTTATTAGCTCCTCCAAGGGCTTGATTAGGGTGTAGTGTGATGGTTTGAGAGAGTAAGCAATAGAAAACCTTTCCTTCTCTGAGTTCACCATTGCTCTGTGCTCTACACTATGATATATATCATTGCTCCAAACCTGTATAGACATCTATTTGTTATATGAAAGTGGCCAAAAACAATATATTTAGCTGTAGCAATGAGTAGTACTCTAATTAGACAAGTCATTGTGCTGATAACAAATTTCAAAGTGTTTTGAGCACAAGAAGTTAATATGAAATCTGAAGAGTGGAGAACCTGAAGACTGTCACCAACATTGATGACATAGGCATTTGGGGTGGGTTTAACACGGATCCACTCTCCATCTGTTTTTCTCTTCACTTCCAATCCTCCAACTTCATCTTGAGCTAGCACGGTTAACGCACCGCCATCCTTGTGGGGACCAACACCAAGAGCTAACTGAGGGGAAGGACAAGGTGGATAGTAATTGAGTGTCATAGAAGTTGTTTGGTCTTTGAAGTATCTGCTGAACCTGTTTTCTGGCAAGCCAAGGCTCAAGGCAATAAGTCCCATCAACCTCATAGCTAGCTTTAAGATTTCTTGCGCATATTCTTCACAGGCCTCCCTGGTCAAGGCAGTCTATTATATCATATAAATCAAGTTCCAAATACAAGTTCAGCTCATCGTGCATGAGGTCCTTACAGTAGCAGCACAATCATTTAAGTTACCAAGTGAGAGCTAGTGTTTTTTGATTGATTCACATTATAAGTTATAACTCACAGGATGTAAAGTTTAACTGACCCTTTGATCACAGGTGAAGTGATCTATATTTCTTTTACATATTAGTGATCATTCAGTTACCTGTATTCTGGAGGATACTCTGGCCACCGGTTATGCCACTCTGTCTCTTCCTTGTCTTCGGGGTCAGGCGAAGCCGGGACTAACGTAGGCTCCTCCACTGTTAAATCAAACACCTCCTTCCAGTCTCTGACATTCTTGGTACGCTCACAGTCATAGTAACCCAGCACGCTTTTTTCATCCCTTCTAATCTTCCTCTTCTCCTCCAAGGGCAGAGCAAAGAGCTTCCTAGCAGCAGTCTCAATATTTCGGAGCTTATCTAATTGAACCCCATGATTGATCACTTGGAAGAACCCCCAGCCCTTGCATGCACTGCCTATTTCTCTAACAACACCTTCAATGGCTTTCGGATCAGTAATGGAGTCTGGGGAGATTATTGGAGACAGGTCAATCAAGGGTATGCCTCCGCCTTCGATGATGAAGAGTTTAGGCCTGTGATCAGGGTCTTGTATGAAAGCTGGATCAACTTCTCCCATGTCTGGACTCTGGTTAAATGATTTTCTTTGCAAGAAGAGGCAGTTAAAGCAACAAGGCTATTGATTGTTAGGTTTTATAATGTGAGCGGTTCAACTTTTATCTTGGACGTGTGGACAGGTTTGGAAGGCTGTGATGTTTGTGCTTGCTTGGTCATCTATTGATTTTATTTGATGCCATTGCAGACGTAGAGCCACATTTGTGGAACCAAAGTCTGACTTGACACTACAAAATAAAGAAAAAGAAGGAAAAGCCAGAGCAGACAATGTCACATCACAATCAAATTGATACCTTCTCATCCAAATTTCTTTTTTTTTTCCTTTTTCAAATTAATCATTGATGGGTGGGGGGATGCTAGAAAAGTTCAGGTTCAATTTCAGCAGGAAGAATGTTAGGCCTAACTGAATTCAGGGTCCTATATTTCAAGTAAGAACTTATGCAGAACCAGTACTAGTTTCTGAGGGGATTCAAACCCGATTGCCCTGAACCATTTTGGCCATCAAACTTGAACTTCAAACAAGTTTTCTTTAATCCAATCATGTCCAAACTTATGAAAATTTTAAGAAGGGAAAAGATCAAAACCG